TCCGCCCCTCCCCGCCCCGCCGCGCGGCCCCCTGCTCTATGCCCGATGATATCACGTAACTAGCTCGGCCGGCTACAGATACTATCAGCATACAGTCCAAACAGGACCAAATAACTCCGGTGTTATCGAGCGCGCGGGCGTCGTAGGGCTCCGTAGGGCACGCCCACCAGGGCCGCCACCATCACCACCACCGGCAACGGGGCCAACGCCAGGGTCACAACCACCACCACCAGCACAACCACTAGCACAACCACGCACACAGCTACCACCACCACAACCACCACCACCGGGGCTCAGCCGAACCGAGTATGAGACTCAATGTGGGACACCCTGCCGCCGCCACCGCCGCGCCGCACCTCCGCGGGGCGCGCAGCCGCGGGCCAACCGGGGGTCTTGTACGGCGTTACGGCGCTAGATGGAGGCCAAGGCCGGAGTATGCACGCTGCACCGGCTCAGAGAGAGGGTGAGAGAGGGGGAGGGATGGAGGAAGAAGGAGAGGGGAGAGAATGACGGAGACAGCGAATGAAAGAGAGAGAGAGAGAGAGAGGAGGACTTCCCCGGCGGCTGTTTGACCAGCGTCAACGCCGAGGAGGACGGGCCTCCCAATCTCGCGCCCACGGTAAAATGAAACTGGGTTCAGTGGAGAAGGGGTGCGCGACGACGATGACGACAACAGCAGCAGCAGCATCCCCGCACCGCCCAGCTCAGAGGTGGCGGTGCGGGCGGCCGGCCGCTGTGCACCCACCACCACCACACCACCACCCCGCTCCGTCCGCCCCGCCGCGGTGTCGTGCACGGTCAAGTCGCCAAGGTCACTGAAAGACAAGCGATCTCAATACAATGCCCCCGGCCCGCCTGTCCGCGAGGCTATGCGCGAGCGGGGCGGGGCGGGGCGGGGACGGGGACGGGCGGGGCGGCCACCAGCAGGGAGAGCCCACGAGGGCGCTAAGGTCGATAAGATGATACTGATACGAGAGCACTTTGGACAGAATAAGAAAACTCGCGGCGAGTGAAGAAACCCGCTGATAATGAGAGCAGACCCGAGCGGACCAGGCCCGCCGGGGCGGAGGAGGAGGAGGCGGCGGCGGCGGCCTGCTGCAGCACCGAGTGCTCCTCGATTATATTGGGATCGAAACCAATAATCGATATGTTCAAAACAAACATGGGAGCCGCACGCCCGCTGGCTCCCGCCGCCCGCCCAGCCCCACCCGCATCAGTAGGCTCCTCCTCGCCCCCTCCGCCTCGTATTCTCCTCCGCACCAGCTGCAGCTGCCCTCCCAGCTCCAGCGGTCCCAGACAGTCCCAGAGGGGCAGTGCGTCAGTGCTGCTCTGCTCATTGCTGCTCGATGCCCCCATTGTTCCCCCCCCCCTTCTCTCTCTCTCTCTCTCTCTCTCTCTCTCTCTCTCTCTCTCTCTCTCTCTCTCTCTCTCTGGTCGTCCCTTACACGTCGCTCCGTGCAGGTCTCCCGTCTTATCACAGACATGTCTTTGCCGAAATGCACGCGAACGGTGGTCCCTCGCCCTCGCGCAGCCCGTGTGCACGATCGGGCGGCCTGTCGGGGAGCGGGGCCGGGGGGCGCTCACGGCACCTGCAGGTGCGGAAGGATCCATATTTGAATACGTTTTACGTCCACCCCGCAACCCCAGTTCCCTTTTCTCTCGAACTAAGTGCGCTCGCGGGCCCGCAGTATTTCAGCCGGCCGCCACCGCCACCGCTCCCTCTGGGCCGTCGTACATCAGGACGCGATGTGCCGATGTGATGTGTACGCGGTAGACATAGACGAAAATAGACGGCCAGATAAGAGGAAATAGGGATGGAGCTGAGAGATACAGAGAGAGAGCGCGCAAGAGAACGAAGGAGAGAGAGAAGAGGGCAAGGGAGGTGCGAAGCAAGAGAGAGAGAGGGAGAGAGAGAGACAGAAGAGGTGGAGGCAAAAAGAGGGAGGGGGGGTAGATAGCAGCGGAGAGGGGCAGAGAGAGAGAGAGAGATGTTGAGATAGTCGCCTGACGGCAGATCGCAGCGATAGGCGATACATACGAATGGCGGTGCTGTGCGATGGAAGAGAGAGAGAGAGAGAGAGAGCGGGGGGGGGGGGGGGAGAGATTGTATGGCACGATTGCGGATGACGGGAGATGACGGAGATGGCGATAAGCGAAGGGCAAAGGGAAACAAGGACGCGTTGGGTAGGGGTAGGGAAAGGGGTTCGGGAAAGGAGGGGGGTATTTGATTGATCGGAGAATTTCTGGACGACAATCGGATCGGCGTGCCCAAAGATCAGAAAAGCTGATTTGCCGTCTTTTTTGCGCAAGCACGGCGGTCGGAAATGTTATGTTTTGGCAAGAGCTTTTATACGTCGTATATGGCGAATATGCACCGTTCCATCTGCCGGTATATCGTTTTTCTTTTGCCACCCAATAGATTCTCCATCAGGTGCGCTAGAGCAAACGGTTCGCGAGTTGAACTCTTTCGCGTGCGGTTAAGATTGGCGGGGTGTAAGCTTTCGATCGGCGGTTTGGGGGAGAGGGGAAAATAAAAAGCACAGCTCACTTCCCTTGCCTCCCGCAACCCTCGGCACACGCTCCTCCTCCCCTTCTCCCCCTGCTCCATGCAACAGGTCGAGCGAGGGGAAAGGGCGGGGGAGAGAGAGAGAGAGAGGGGGGGGG